TAAAATACCGATCGAGGGTCATAAAAGCGACAACCGCCGAGCGAGTTGTAAACATACGACTTTACTTTAATCAACTTTCATTTTTGATAAAATATTAAATAATAAATTATTTCATCAAGAAATAATTTTTATATTCTTCGGATTTCCAAGTGTGGAATTACACATATGGAAAAATTTCGAGTATGGAGTACTCCACATCAACCACACTATAGTCGACGCCCATGATGTGGTGAAATATGAGAGTAGTTCGAAAAGTTCTCGGCCTGACATAGAGATGGTACCAGAAGTATCAAATGGCTATGATTTTTCTTAAGTTTGATCTTTCAGAAGGCCTCCGAAAAAGTTTCAGACAGACGCAGTTAGTAGTTTGTCTATTGCGTCGAGTAAAGCAAATCCAATCAGCGCGTTTGCTAACAGTTGACAGAAACGCACTCGAATAAATGTTTCTTAAGAGTGTTTGAACATGTTTAAACGCAATCCATCCAACTTTCTGCGACGATTCATCAATGTGGATGAAACATGGATTTACCACTACACACGCCAGAGACAAAACAACAGTCCAAATAATAGGTGGAAGCCGGTGGAAGTGCTCCAAAAAGGGTTAGAGAGAAAAATTGTATTATACTGAAGGTCTAAAGAAGTGTTAGAATATCGTTGGTCTATTAATCGTTGGTGTATTGATTTACAAGGGGACCATAAAAATAAGAAAAATAAAAAAAATTTTGACAAAAATCATACATTTTCTTTGTCAGGCCGAGAACTTTTCAAACTACCCTCGTATAAACAATCCATGATTTTAGTTAAAATATAACTAGATTTAATAACATAAATATATATGTGTGGGTGCATGCGTGCGTGCGTGTGTGTATAGATAAATAGAAGTAAAAAAAGAAGAATTATGAAGGCTTCATATCAAATACATATTACATAAACAGAATTTATACAATTTTTTATTTAGAAAAGAAGCATAATTGACATAATTAAACTACATACATATACAGAGTGAGGCATTTAAAACAGGTCATCTGAATGACTCGCTTGTTTTTAAGAATAGAAGGAAAAATATCAAACAAAAGTTGGTTGGTTTCAAATGTATCACTGGATGTAAATAAAAAAAACATTCCATTAAAAAAAAAAAACAGATTTGACCTTTGCCTATCCTTTACGCTTTCACCTATGAAACAATTATTGACATCACATTATATATGTGTCCCTCAAAACTAAGCAACTTTTGTTTAATACTTTTCCTTCTATTGTTAAAAACAAGTGAGTTATTCAGATGATCTGTTTTAAATGCTTCACTCTGTATAGTGCATTAATCGCATTTATTTTATGTTTAGGGTACGTTTGCTTGTGGCGATAGTGGAAATTATCATTTCTACTTGTCTGCTATGGATAATATTTCAACGGATTTATTCTTATATTCATGTCTAAAAATAAAAATGTATACATTATATATGAGAAACGTGTGTTAAAAAATTAAACACTCATTTCTGAAATATTTTGAGAATGCAATTATTCTGTAAACAAAAATATGTTTCAATTACAAATAAATAAAGATAATATTTTCTGAAAGATATGCGATACATGTTTAATTATCATAAATTGTGTCTTAATAAATATTCGATATAAATAAATCAATTTTATAATATTATATAAAAAATTAGTGTTATATTTGTAACGTCCGCCGAAAATATACATAGACGGCGAACGTCACTAGCGGCAACGCGAGGCGGTTGTCATAACAACCGTCTAGCGTCCCGCTCCAAGAAAGTAATCACGCGCTTATCGCGTGATTACCAGCTGTAGCGATTCTCCATGCGCGCGCGCGCACCAAATTGAGATACTTGTGCGAATTAAAAGTAAAAACAAATAAAGAAACATGTAATCAGGTGGTGTAATTTGGATAAACATAAAAAAACATATACTAGTGCAAAATAAAGCACCAATGCTAAATATACCAAGATAAATATTGTTTATCCAAAACCAGTAATCTAACTTGCCATAAAAACAACAGCAAACTGATAAATAAAATAGTAATATCAACCATTAATTACTTCGCTTAAGTATCTTAATAAAATCCTTTTAAATAAATAAAGAGTAAAAGCGACGAGGCATATCGAGCCCGCACAAAGAGCGATACATTAGGCACAACTGCGTGTATAAAAACAAGAGCCACCGTTTCGGTGAATTGCCGTTTCAACAAATTATAAATCGAATGCAGAAATTGCAGTGCAGTGTTGTGCCTTACGGGGGTTGCGCCCATCGATGTGTGACTTTTTAAAATTAATTCCAAATAACTGAAAATCGACTGAAACTAACTAATAGAAAGATCTAGAATAATATCATAAATAAGTTACACATTGAGGGGTCAATTCCCCTTACCGTTCAGCATCACCACTTGACATAAACAAAAGTTCCGAGAATCTTCCAGACAATTCTGGAAACAGAAATTCGTGATGCAATTTCCGGAAAGGACAATCCCCCTTGTCCTCGCGGGGATCAACCCTTGATTTGTATATAAATCGTGTCCGCTAAGAGCGCAGCGCACTTCGTTTCCGAGTAAACTAATTCGCACTTCGTTTATCGACCACTTCGCTTTAGAGCAAATTAGCTAGCACTTTCTTTTGCGCGTTTCGTAGATTCAATAATTATAATCGAACTTTGTGTTTTGGGAGCATAATAGCGAATTGTAACTCTAATTCGATATTCATCATTCTTTTTCTTTTTGTGAATAGTTTTCTTTTCTCTTCTTCCTTTCGCGGAATTCATATTTTGTACATATATATCTCTATACATATATATATATTACATAAATATATCTAATAGTGTAAGTGCCATATTAAATTCTCAGTTCTTATGCTGTAAATTCTTTTTTGTTATTTTTTTTTTCTTTTCTCTTCTCTTTTATAATATGTGAAGTGCTTAAGTGTTTGTGATCGTCTGTGGTGTCAATACTTGTTTTCAAGGCTTGGATCTTCGGAGAGCTATAACTTTGTGAAAACGTGTTACTTCGGGAGCCTCCCTGGGATGCCGCTGTGAGTTTTGAGACAAACTCCGGCCGCCTATGGGACGATGCTGCAGCGGCTTTCCGTATTAAAAAGCCGCCCCTCGTTTCTCTTGGGGACGCCACCGTGTTAGTTCGTTGGTCAGACTCGAATCTCAAAATGGAGTTCGAGGCGCGCGGGGGCCTTTCCGGAAAGGGCCGCTGTGGGTTTTGAGATAAATCCCAGCCGTCTACGGAGCAGGGCTGCAGCGGCTTTCGGTAAAACAGAAAGCCGCCCCTCACTCCTTCCGGTTACGCCTCTCCCCGCTATTAGTGATTCGTTTTTTTTCTGTTAGAACAAAGGCAGTACATGGCCTCAGCTCTCGCGAATCCAAGTTCTACGATCCAAATGACTATGGTTGCAGGAACGGGAAAATGCCCCGTCGAAGGGACTCGGGACGACGGATGGCGTATCGTCGCCTAGTACGCGAGTATAACACGTTCGCGGAGTTCGACCCGAGACTCGAGAGCCGCAACCGATCCCCGCTGGATACACCGGGAGGTCCCTGTTTATCATCCTGTGCCGGGGAATCGGGCCTCATACGAGCCGGTAGCCTACAGGGTTAATGGTAAACCCTCGATTAGGAAGGCCGAAACTCCTACCGACGCAGTTAGGGTAGAAAACGCAGGGGCTACTCGGCCTGTCGCAACTCCGCGGGGCAAACCGATAAATAATAAGAAGCGATAGGCCGTTTAACCGACTAATGCGCTTGGCGATATTTGCGCCCCCGCCAGATCCGAGCTATCACGTCGCCCAAATAGTTGTAGCGAAACGGGCCCCTCGCTCGGCGTCCGGGCCTCTCACAAAAAACCGGACGTCACATATTATATTTTCAAATTTTTAAAAAAGTATTAATAAATGTTATACATTTTATTGTACATGTATAAAGGTATATTAAATAAAGTGCATTTTATTTAAAGAAGTAGATTTTCAATCTTATAATATAATATATGTTTCTAACTTATAATTTATAATATATGATAAACTTTGAAAGGTTATGTGCTTTTGTATTATAATACACAGCCAATATTGCATTTATCATGGAAAGAATCAAGTTGGTGTGCTCAGATAAACATAAACGTGAAAGAATTTGCTTTCTGAATTGATTTAACAATACAATTATCGAAAAAAGTAACTGTAATGGTAACGGTATTAGAAGTAACGAGTTAATTTCAATTTGAGTATAATATAGCAAATTTACTATAGAATCGACAAACCTATGTCGCAGAATTACATTTCCTGACGATTCAACAAGACTTGGTATTTTATTCTTCCATATCGGATGTTG